TTTTACAGTTTAAAAAAAAAAAAAAAAAGGCTCAGAAAAAGACCCTGGCCAAGCCCTGCAGAACTGGGGCTGGAACCTTCCTCAGCCTGGGTTGCAATCCCTTTGCCTTTCCAATTTGCCATCCGGCCTTGCCTCCCACCTGCTGGCCTGGTCTGGCCTGTCTGTGCCCCTCGTGCCCTGTGGAAGCGTCACCATGCCATGCTCCTAGGGCCTCACCTCCTGAACAGAGCTCTGCCTCGAGCCCGAAGCTGCGGAGGGAGGGAGTGAGGGGAGTTCCCAGCCTGGAGCCATCCGTCTGCGGGCTGGTGACACCGACACCGGGGCCCCAGCAGAATAGCAAGCTTGTTCGCTCTTGTCTGGCTGTTAGTGGTGATGTATGAATAAGCAAAGAAGACAGCTTCATTTTCATAAGTTAACTTGTGCCTGGAGTTAGGAAGACGGGGAACAGCGCACTTAATCATAACCACAGGGCCTCATAGAAAACAATGACAAAGCCTTTTCTGTTCGTCACGGTGTTTTATTGTAATAACTCCTAAGAAGACGAGACGGTGCGGAGTGCTGAGGGAGGCAGCACGCCAGCAGCCCGGGAAAGAGGAGTCCCCTGAGACTTGACTTTTTAATGGGATGGCAGGCCTCCTGGGCTCACATCGTCCAGGCTAAAGCTTTAGACGTGGACCACTGGAGACCGGATGCCACCTGGTTTATGAGCTGGGGTTGGCAGGGCTGGAAAGGATGATTGTCACCAGGGAGTGGCGGGGCCTCTGCCTGGAAGGGTGTTGTGTTGTGAGGCAGCACTGTTCTCAGAGAATCCTGGGAATGTGGAGGGCTTCGTGGACGAGGCAGGTGGAGACCGTCATCGTGCACCAGAGGAGACAGTAAGCGACCCGGGAGGCACCCAGCCGGCATCCCCCACCATCCCCGGCCTCCATGATTCCCTGTCCTCTGTTCCTCCGACTTCTCAGTATTTCTGCCACCACGAGGACCATGCTGCTTCCTAATTGTTTATCTTCCTCCTCTTCCAGCTGCCTCTGCGGCAACAACCGTGTTTTATTTGTCTTTGATGCCTTAGTCTGTTGTGTGGTCTCTGACACAGCAGACCCTCAGCCCATGCGAAACTAAAGCAGCATCTAGGCAGAATAAGGACCGGGTCAGCTAAGGAAGGAGCCGGGGAGATGGGTAAAGCCATAGATGCCTGAATCCAGGCCAGTGGGACAGAGGGGGGGTGGGGGGGCGGAGAATCCTGGCTGTAATGATAAGAGCATATACCTACTCAACATTGTACTGGTTTTCCAGGCATTGTTAGCGGTAACATTTGAATAAGCACAAAACACAAGATTAACTTGTGCCTCAAGAGAAAAAAAGTTAATGCTAAGGTATGTCCTGTGTTTTAAGTTCCCTTTATAGGTGAATGAACTTGTAGGCACTGAGAGGTTAGGTAACTTGTTTGAGGTCACACAGCTAATAAGCTGAGGAGCCGGGATTTGAACCTGGACAGTTTGTCTCTGGCATTCCTTTTCTTCATCACTTCTCTGTCCTCAAGAAGCATAACACAGGAGGCTGTCACTGAGTTCTGCTGGTCTGTGGGCAAGATTTAGATGTCATCATAGCTTATTGTGTGCTAGGGAACCCCACAATGAGTCTCACCCCCTACCGTAGCAGGGACAGAGCTTCCAGACCTGGATCAATAATTCTCTGACTTCAAAGTGCTTTCCAATTACCTGGCTCTTTTGTGATGCAGATGTCTAGACCCAATGGCCAGAATTCTATTCCGTCTAACGGGGGCTGAAAGGTGTTGAGTGCTGTATGAGTGATAGCTGTTTTTAACCAGCATCCTCCGGGCTTACCTGGAAGCTTCGGAAAGAGCATTTTGCTCTCCCCTCGTTCACCAAGATCGACACCTCCTCCCACTCAGCTCTGTCTGGCGGGTTTGGCATCTTCCTCACCCTTCCGGGAAACTGCAGAGGGGGAGTGACAGCCCCTGGACGCACCGGTACGCCCCCTGCTCTGCTGAAGTTTGAGCTCAAGGTCTCGGTCTCCAGAGGAAGAGTGAGACGCATGGTGAACTTCAAGTCGTGTTCTCCAAACTCCCCTGCTCTCAGTCTGCACCTGGGCTGCCTTGCTCACGATGGCTGCAAACAACTCCTTTGCACACTCCAGCCCTCTTCTAAGGTTTTAAAAAAAATCCCTCATTAGCAACAGGAGAGCGGTAATTTTAGTACCCATTGGTTGAGGAAATGCAAATTGGTAAACAGCTTCCAAGCCTTTGCTTTGCTTTTTTAGACAGATCCATTAGCTGCTCTGTCGATGATTAAAATGGTAGTTGGGTTTTGCAAGTGGGCTTGTGAAGCCCCTGCCCCATTTGGGGTGTCAGGGTTGGAAGGTATGGAGAGCTGTGTAAGTGGTGGCTGGTTAACTAGCATCATCCGGGCTCATCCGGAAGCCTTGGAAAGAGAGCAGGCCCATCCACAAGGGTTTCTTTGGACGTCATCTAGGACAACAGTTAGGTCCTTCTAGAATTTACTGAACTGTGGTCAGGGTTTTGGCATGATGAATACCTACAGTAAGTCCGCTAACTTGCATTAATAGGTGATATTTTCCTCATTTTTTTTTGTTTTGTTTTGCTTTGTTTTGTTTTTTGGTTTTTGTTCTTTGTTTTTACCAACAAATTGTTTCAGTATCTGGGAATGGGGAGTTCATATCCTCTGTTAATTCTCTCATGCCTTGACACTTCTAAAATAAGAATTCTGGGAGAACGTGTGGATCTTGGTGAATGAGGGGAGGGCAAATGCTCTGCAGCTTCGAAAATGCGGGGATACTAACACACACACTGGAGTTATGGGGCTCCGAGTCATGGACTTAGCAGACATTTATAGCATTGATATGCAGCCCTTGCCCTTGGACTGGTGCGGGGGGGGATATTTTTACGCATGTGGTGTGGGTGTGCCTGTGTGTCACCCATCTGTCCTTGACGGGGCATAAGTCAGCTGATGGCCAAAAGTGCCAGGAGTGCTAGGTAGAGCCATCTACCGCCTCAGGGGCGAGCCAAGGAAAAGGTTCACACTCAGGGGTGTTCATAGCTGGCTTCGGGCTGGAGACACGCTGGAAGGGATTCTGGGCAGGAATTGGCCAAGGGTAAGGGCACTTCCTGCCAAGTGAGAGCCGTAGGAGCAAGAGCCAGAAGGGAGAACGCAAACAACCAAACTGTACATTTTCATGTGGCAGGAATGAAGTGTGGCTACGTAGAGAAAGCTTCTGAGGAAGTAGATCACGGTCAAACATAATGCATGGAACGCCAGAGCACAGAATTTGGACTTTCAGGTAGTTGAAGAGGACCTTACCCTAAATTCAGTGAAAGACCATTCCCCTCTTGTCATTTCTGAGCACATCGTGCCCTCCATCCATTATATTGAACCTGGGGTCCTTGGTAATCGTGAACCAACTCCCCCAAGGACTATGCCACCCCCTGCCCCACCCCCAGCCTCCATGAAAGATCATCATGTGAGCTCTCGAATGAGGTCCCGGCACACGGCTTTCTCAGCTGAGGACAACCTGCCTTTTAGATCTCACCGTGTTCTGTGAGCATCGTAAGCTTATCGTGGTGGAATTGATCTGCTCTTGCCTGTCCTGAGTTGGTGATGGGTTTTTCTGAGGGATTCTACATGGTGTGGATGTGATCGTATACAATGACAAAGTGGGTGGTAGTATTTTTCCCATGCGTCTAATTTATGTATTTGTGCTGGAGTGATGATTTAGATAGGAGCTCGATAAATTGATCAAATAAATTACACCGGACCCACACAGCATCATTTCAGGGAGCTGTCATCACACCAGGGAGGTTCTATATCACGCAACGTGGGGTACCGGGAGAACCACTCTGTTTTTCTTAACATATTGCTGGGCCTTCATTTGGTCAGAAAGGTCTGTATTTCTCAGATTGGCCAATAATAAAAAGATTTTAGCCCCAGAAGGCATCGGTTAGCTGCAGAAGTCAGTGATTATGAGTCATGGGACACTTTGCAAGTTAGACTGTCCACACCTCAGTTTCTTCTCCTGCCTCGGTTTCTTTCCCTATACCATGTGAATTTTTTTTTTTTAATTCCTGCCTCCAACACTTGTAGTTAAGGTAAGCGAGACTGCACCGAGACAGTGGAAGGAATCTGGGCGTCAGACAAATACTGAACTATGTGTCGGCTCCCCCATAATTGTGCAAATCACAGTCCTGGGGAACCTCGGGTTCCGGGTCTATAAAAGAGTTGATTGTTGGTCCAAGGGAATATCTTCTGCAAGAGGTGTGGTAGGGTTGTCTCATGGAAGGCAGTGGGAGCTGAGGCCCTGCTGGCCCCACGTAGAAAGCCTGGGGCCCCAGGAGCGGGATGCTCTAAGAGCTGGAGGGGAGGACCGACTCACCTACGATGCTGAGTTACTAAGAGGCCTGGCTCACCTGTGCTGTTGGCCCCAGTGCACCAGACACACAACTCAAGATCAAGTGGGTATGAGAGGAAGAACGCTGTGGTGGGGAGCTGCTGCCAGAAGGGGGCTCCTGTCTGTGAGCCTCCATCTCCCGCACCAAGGGCACGTCTTCCCTCTGTTGGCATCAGGTGGTCTCCGCGGACACCCAGAAAGCCAGCGAACTAGCGTCTGGTGGGGACTCTTGCAGCTGGAATTTGAAGTGTGCCAGTCAGCATAGAGGCGTTACTTGACTTAAGGGATGGTTGGACCGATGGTTGCCTGGTCGGTTGGGGCTTCTGGCTTGATCAGAGAGGAACTGGGTGACCTTGGGCAAGGTAATTAGCTACCCTGGGCGGCCTCCAGGTGGCGGGGCTGGCCAAGTGTGAGAAGTAAAGACAGTCCTACAAGCGAAGCACGGAGATCGAGGTCTGGCACTTGCTAACGAAAGCCGTGGTGGTGATGACCCGCCGTGACTGTATCTCCAGCTCGGCGCGCACCGGCACACGCAGCCTGGCTTCTTCTAAGACCTTTGCTTTCTCTGTACTTTCCAGGTCAGCAGGTCCTGGGCTTGGTGGAGAACCAGAGTGACTGGTACCTGGGAAACCTGTGGAAAAATCACCGCCCTTGGCCTGCGCTCGGAAGGGGCTACAACACAGGTAAATCGTGAGCGTGGCGCGTGCGTGGCGGGTGTTTTGGAAGATGACATGAGGGCTCAGTGCTCCTTCCTCTGAGGGAGGAGGCAGGCAAAGCACAGGAGGAAGCCACCTGGCTGCCTGAATTCTGCAGCGGACAGTCCATACGCGACTGACCTTCTAGTTCTTTCTTAGAGCCACACCTACAAGCACAGAGCTGTCAGACCCTGGCTGGCGGTGGCAGTCTCACCAAAAAGCCTTTCTCCTGACTAACCTTCAGACATAGATCCCATTGGGCCTTTTTAGGAATATGACCTGTAGTTTCCTTGGCCCTACTGATAGAGAGATGGTTCTGCCGTGACAAAGAACCACTCTGTTCTTCGTCAGATGTTTCCGCTTCTCAGCACCACAGAAATTTATTTTCCTCACATTCCATGTCCGTGTTAGGCTCGCTGGTCTGTGCTCACCGTAGGCATTCAGGATTCATCCGGATTCAAACTTCTTGTACAGGGGGGAAAGTAGCGGATATCCTGTTGACTCTGAAAGTCTCTGGTCAGCAGTGACGTAACTTCTGCTAATATCTCAGTGGCAAAAGCATCCCTGTGAATGATATCATTCATTCATTCATTCATTCCGTACTCAGCAGCTGTGTCTGGAGTAGTTAGGGTGTCCTAGACCCTGTGCCACATGTGCAGGGCAGTGTCTCAGTGTCTCAGCCACATACGGCCCATGACCTCACAGAGCGTATCGATAAGAAACGAGAGTGGCCTCCCGCTCCTTAAGCTCTGGCCTGCCAGTGTTTGGTTTTCATCGTGCTTCTGGATCCTTCTGCACTTTCCCCTTCATCATCCTCTTTGCCACTGCTTTGGCGGCCTGTTCTCAAAGGATGCAGACGTGTGATCTGTGTCGGGACTGGAACTTAGAGCTCAGAGAGCAGTAGGTTTGGTCAGGCCCAGAAGGACTGGAACCTGGCATCTGAGACCAACTGTCCTGGGGTGGGGCGGGTGTCTGGGGATGGTGCCACCCATAGGGTTCCGGAGCTAAGGCCAGCCTAAAGTCAACACTGAGAGCTGAGGGTAAGACTCCAGAGAGGTCAGGTGCAAATACAGGGGCCCTAGAGGCCAAAGGGAAAATGGAAGACAGTCAAGCTTCCAGAGGTGAGAGTTCAGAAATGGGGTCATTGTGGGGTCAAAGCTGGAGGAGGACAAGGAAAGAAAGGTTCAGAGTCAATGTCCTGAGGAGCCAGACAGATGCCAGTCAAGGAGCCCCGTGAAGGCCATCCTTTGAGATGGGGGACATGCCTTAGCTGACATTTACCAGAACATCCAGGCATCCTCACTCTATGGAATTTTTCCCTGTGACGCCTTCCAGACTTAACAGCCCAGAGGGGTTGCAGTGGAAGAATTTGAACCAGCAACCTTCCACCCACCTCCTGGAAGTGCCCCCCAGGGCCACCAGCTATGCTGGACACTAACGCTTGAGTTGCTGGATGCTGAGGAAGTCTGAACAGCCCCCGAGAGGAGCCAGGCCGCTCTGAGCAGCTGCTCTCCGTTAGCTGGTCTAGACGTATTTTAATAATGGCTAAGGCAGTGTCTCAGCGTCCCAGCGGAGCAGGCACCGGGAGCTTTCTGGGTGTTAATCTTATTTTATCCTCTCACTAACCCACCAGGCAGGTGCTATTCTTATCTCTACTTTGAACACCGGAAACTCACACTGAGAGAGGTTGAGGCTCTAGTCTGATCGGTAAGGAGGCTGCCTTGTTCATGACTAACCTCCCTCCCTTGAACTTCAGTGGTTTCAGGATCAAGAATACCATCAAACGTGGACTCTGTCTTTGAAGCATCTGGAGAGGGGCCTAGGATTTGGCCCCCTAAGAAAGCCTCCAGGATGTTTCTGGAACAGGAGGGTCTGCTCTGAAAGATGGCACTCTGTTTCACCTCCCAGCAAACCCTCCCGGGGGCTTTCTCGGTGCACTTGAGGCTGGACCTTTAGGAACCCACTGCGGGGCTGATAAGATGTCTCCCCCGCCCCTGCCCAACCCCATACTTTCCTTTGGGCAGCGAATTATCAGGCCGTGTTGATCTTTTGCCAAAGCCAGGATTCCTAACACATCTCCTCCAGGCTCCTGCAAAGCTGGAGACACCCATGTTTGTTGGGTGAGAGAAGGGAAATCGCAGGTAAACCCTGGTGTGTGTTGAGTCTGTCTTCCTCCCAGAATAATAGACAATGTCACGCTGCGTCGAGACATCGGGGTTATGGTTTTCTGCGTAAACCACACACACTGGTTATCAGTCCGGGTTTGCAGGCAGAAGAGAAATGGGGCACATGAGGAATTTATTATGTCAAAAATGACACATCCCCACCTGCCTCTCCCGTTTGACTTCAGCACTAGGTCAGGAGACAGACAAGGATCTAAACCACCTCCAGGGACCCCACGTGCGATGCCAAAGGCAGTGAGTTACTTCCCTTGCCCACTGGTACTTAAAGTGCAGAGCCGATGAGGAAAGCCCTGTTAGAAATGATGTGTCCATTTAAATAAGCCAGTGACACCAAGTGATCATTATAAAAGGATTTATGCGACATCAGAATGCACTGGCTTTCGTGATAGGGATTTGTTATTTTAAGACTCAGAATTGTACCACACGTCGGCACATGAGTCATGCAACACTTAGATTCTCATGGAAATTGAGCACTCTGCGGGGAGGGCGTCTGCTTGCCCTAAATCCCAGCACGCAGCAGGCCTCCGAGAAGGGGTCTCTCCAGCGAAGCCCCAAACTGAGCCTTCAGCTTGGGGTGGGCAGACGCTGGGAAATCCACATTCTGGAATCGCCATTCAGCCACTAAATGTCCACATAGGTTTAGCCAAGGTGGTTTACCTCCTTGAGTTCACCTCCTCATTCTCTGCCTTGTACGATAGGATAACAGAGCCCAGGATGGGGGAATTAACAAGGTAAGTAGGTCAACAAGCCAGCCTTTATAGCCACAAAACAAGGGCGCAGTATACCTCCGTCTCTGTCCTCTTGGGTTTTTTCTGCCACCCATCCTCTCAGGGAATTGAATCCATTCTCTGCTCTAAAAATGGTGGTTATATGAAGTTTGCTAAGGCCTTCAAAGCCCTCAGGTCAGAAAAAAACAGAACAAAACACTAAGCTTCTTTGCTTTTCCTTAAATGTAATGCAGCCACCTAGCACTTTTTCTCTTTTTCCCATATCTGGAAAAGGTTGCCTTTTCATATTATTTTAGAAAAAGTGATGATTTTTACTTCATATATCAGCTTCCTGACTGTGTTTTACCCAGAAAAAAAAAAAAGGCATAAAATGTTTGAGTTGAAAAATCTGCCTTCAAGAGGCAACTGTATCACTTTTCGGCTTTGTTCCTTTTGGACAACAACTCCAGCTCTCTGAGCCTTGGGTTTCTTTCTGTGAATGGAGAATAATAAGCCCAGCCCCGCCCCCCAGCCCTTTGGTGGAGGCTCCTCGGTGGTAATGTAGCTTCAAGAGCCTGGTAGACCAAAGTGCATTAGGAAGGTGGTTGTGGCATTTATTTCTCTTCCTGACCACAGCCTAGCTGGGCAACTGTTTGCAAGTAATTTAGATTTGTCCTATTTATCAAGTTCAACTGCACCCACCAGTCATGAGAGCAGATGCTTGACTCTGCATTATCTTCATTAATTCCTTGAATTGTCTTGCACAGTAGACATTCCCCTGGAAACAGCCAGCCAGCTTCCTCCTTCCTCTTCCTGGTTTTCCTTCCCAGTCCGCTAGCACAAAGCCCACAGGGCCTTAAAGATTAGAAAAGATCTGCCTGCCATCTTCTACCCTTGCCCCTCCCTTCTTACCTGAGCTGTGTACCACTTAATTCCATCTTCACAGAACTGCTAAAGCCACAGCCCGGCTCAGGGCCCTCACCATAAGCGTTCAGGTAGAATTAAAGGGCACCTCTCCCAGCCTCACTCGGAGATGGGATCATCCCCGACCGCTCTGTCCATCCATCATCTAGGTGCAGGAAGCGGTCATTCACCAGCATTCAGCAGTTTGCAAGATTTTTTTTTTTTTTAAACAAGATTATGACAGGCCTCATTAAGATTCGGCCCATTTCAGTTCCTGCATTGATGGTGAAAATCTTAAAAACAAACACCAGCCAAGAAGAGAAGGGGAAGGAAAGCTACAGGTAGCAGGTGACCGGAGATGATGGGGTAAGGGAAGGCAAGCCAGGGAAAAGGAGATGGCTGCCTTACAGAGAGGTGTGTTCATGTACAGTCCCAAAGGTTACTCAAGGATGAGATGCGTCCTCCCCGAATTGAAGGACATCATATTAACCAGAGGATGTGGTTTAAGAAACTGTTTAAAAATAAAATGTATCCCATTCCTTTCAGTCTCCAAACTAGGCCAGAGACTGACAGATGGAGACCTGGCTCTCCAGGGAGGGAGGAAGGATTTCTCTAGGAATCCTTATCCACAGAACAATAAAATGGGGACATTCAAGGACTGACTCACCTCTGTGGCTGAAGGAAAGTGGAGAAGGAGAACCCGGACGCCATGGTGATTCCGTGGCAGGGATTCAAAAGGGGGCTACATCTGGCCATTTGCCAGAGAACTGCTAAACACACAGCTCTCGTGAGCTGATCACAAGTGTGGGATGCAAGCTGACCCTTTGCTGTGCCCCCAACATCCAGTTTTCTGCAGCCCTAGGCAAGTCTGTCCATTTCCCAGAACCCTCCTTGTCTCTTGGCCCAAGAACCAAGAACTGTTTATGCTCTAAAGGAATATCGTCCCTGAATGATTTCTGTCTGTAATAATTGCATCCAGAGAAACTAGCTTTAGGTGTAGTTCATTCATTCAGCACCTGCTCCTGAATGCCTACATTCTGGGTAGAAAAAGATTTCTTAAAAATGTGTGCTATCAAGAACCTTCCTTTAAGAAGATTGTAGTTTCGTCAAGAAGAGTTTACATATCCCACAAATGAACTTAGTGTGACTTGAGTCCCTGGAATGATTGAGATTCAGAATTGAACGCCAACCTTGC